AGCTGCTATCCTAACATCTTTGTTAGGCCCGTCCAGGTAGTTATTATTCCTGATGAGTGTCCAGAAAAAGCAGCCCATCACGTCCGCACCAACGCCTAAATCCACTATGTGCAGCCAGTCTAAAACCACATAGCTCAGGCGAAAGCCTGGCAGCTGAAGAAGCGGACTCTGCTGATCCCGAAGTGACTGCAGAAAGTCGAAGTCTGACAGTCTCTCTTGGCGCCAGGGGGCAGCCAAGCTTGTGGACGCGTAAGCGCACGGGCCCTCGAGGGCTGCTGCGCATTTCCAGCAAATGCGAGGGCTGTTCCAAGCTGGAAACGAAAACAGTGCACGGAGAAATTCCTGACTTGCTTGGGAGTTGGCCAAGTTATTCTTGAGGTCCTCAGCAGGAACCACCCACATGTGCTCAACTTTGACAGCCGCGAGCTGAATGGAGGCGCTTGGACCGCTATCCATGTCCAATAGGGGAACTCCATGTTTTTTGGTCCACTTGGTCATGTCCTGCTCCCCCTGCAACGTGTCCATGTCTTCTTCGGCTTTATCCACCAGGGTCCCCAGGTACTTGTCAAAGTGGTACCTTTTGAGCTTCATTTTCTTGTTGGTTCTCTCAATGGCGTTGTTTTCATCCCACAGGTCATCGCTAGTAAGCTCTTTTAGCGTCGCCTCCAACAACTCCTTCTGTTCCTGGTTCTCCAAATTGTTGAGCTTCAACAAGGCCGCAACCTCAAACCTCAGATGTCTATGGTGCTAGGCTGGGGTGGTAATAATTCCAATGTGCTCCGCTGTTTAGTTTCCCTTTGGTACACTAGTTAGGCTTGGCTACATAGCACCCCATCAACATGATGGCATAGTTTGTGTAGCATTGTGGAGAGATCATGTCATAACACATATGTTTCCAAAGGAGCAACAATTGCTCCTGAGATCATGTCATAACACAGAGGTTTCCAAAGGAGCAACCATTGCTCCTGAGATCATGTCACAACACATAAGTTTCCAAAGGAGCAACAATTGCTCCTGAGATCATGTCATAACACATAAGTTTCCAAAGGAGTAGCAATTGCTCCTGAGATCATGTCATAACACAGAGGGTTCCAAAGGAGCAGCAATTGCTCCTGATAACATGATAGGTCAATAACAGCTCGTGTGAAACCAACCATTTCACACCTCAATGGAATTCAGCGATACTTGTTTGGGCGGCAAGCTGTCCAAAATGTTTATCAACATAGATTTGTTCAACATCACTCTAACATGGGAGGGTTTGCGCATGTCAATGATGGTTGAACGGTAGGAGCATGATTGTTGTTTCAGGAGCATGTAATGCTCCTACATACCATGAATCACTTTCTAATTTGTAGCAGAGAATGAACAATAAATGGCATGTGCAAGAGTGTTGCATACTCTGTTTTTTAAACCAAAGTATGATACATCCAAACCGATGTTTGGAGGCCATAGGAAGTAAACCAGGTGGACAGTCAGAAACCTTATGGGGGAACCAATGTGCATCCAAGCAACTTGGTACCGTATCCCATTTGCGCACTGGATGTCGACTTCATTGAGGAGGTATGGGATCTAGTACGCGACAATGCCCACTGTTTGCATGACTTATCCTGAGACCATTCTTGAAGCAATTTGGCCTTCATCTCACTCTTCCGGGACAGGCTATTGTAGGCCTTCAGGAAGTCAGTTTTGTTCTGCAGCTCCTCCACTTGGGCTTGCGGGAGGACATACTCGCCACTTTGATGAGCATCAAGTCGTTTTTGAGCATTGTTCAACTGAGTCTTCATGTTGGATTGCATCTTTCTTGTTTGAGTATCATCCACCGCATCTTCATCAGCCCTGCCCTTAGTAGAGCGCCTCCGCATGACCGTCTTGGTCTCATCATCTTTGATCACATTCTTTTTGGGAGACATTGCTCTACAAAAGAAAACTTACTACAAATACCGGCGCCTGTTCAAGATTGAACTTGAGCACAAACAAGCTTAGGTATAAGGAAAATTTCATGAACCAAGTGTTTCATTTAGACAAGGCCATTCCATATTGGGAGCAAAGGAGATGATATGACTCACAACTCCTACACGATTCAACCCACAACCCACAGACAATCAACTGTCACATCAGCACACAAGGGTTCCCAGGGATGTTAAATTGATGTTAAATTTTAACATCCATTTAACAACATTTAACATCAATTGTCATTTACTTTCAAATGTAATTGGATGTTAAATGATGTTAAATGGATGTTAAATTTTAACATCCATTGAACAACCATTCTCCTAGTTGATACCCATACTATTTTGTTTGGTGGAGTTCCCTACCAACACGGGAGCAACTTGATCCTTTTATTATTTGACCTAGTAATCAATATTTGTTGATGATCACACCCATCAAGTATCCCAGGAGCAAACTGCTCCTTCTGTTGATAATCACACCCATCAAGTAGCCCAGGAGCAAACTGCTCCTTCTGTTGATAATCACACCCATCAAGTCTCCTAGTAGCAAA